GAATTCTTTTAGTTAAGCAGAACGCAGCACACTGCTCAGATTGATGTAGACGTTGACTTGTACCACAAATAGACCTCTAATTGATTGATCTGATCTCTGATTGGTCATATAGATCTACTTTGATTGTTCAGATGACTCTGCTCTGCTCTGATTGGTCAAATAGGTCTACATTGATTGATCAAATGACTACTTTGCTATGATTGGTCTGGCGACTCTGCTATGATTGGTCAGATGACTCTACTACTCTTTTCTGATTGGTCATATGGATCTACATTGGTTAGAGCACTCTACTGTGATTGGTCTTTTGACTTTGCTCTGCTCTGATTGGTCAAATAGGTCTACATTGATTGATCAAATGACTACTTTGCTATGATTGGTCAGATGACTCTACTACTCTTTTCTGATTGGTCATATGGATCTACATTGGTTAGAGCACTCTACTGTGATTGGTCTTTTGACTTTGCTCTGCTCTGATTGGTCAAATAGGTCTACATTGATTGATCAAATGACTACTTTGCTATGATTGGTCTGGCGACTCTGCTAGGATTGATCAGATGACTCTACTACTCTTTTCTGATTGGTCATATGGATCTACACTGGTTAGAGGACTCTACTGTGATTGGTCTTTTGACTTTGCTCTGCTCTGATTGGTCACAGGGATCAAATTTGACTGGTTAGATGACTCTACTATGCTCTGATTGGTCAAATGGTCCAGCATGTTATCATTTAGTCCTAAAGCACATTTCAAAAACCAATCTGGAAACAGCATAACAGGGGCATTTTGATCATGACAGCAGAAAACAAACAGAAACAGAAGTGCATGAATATTGACGTCATTAACTGTATTTGATGTTGTTTACAATTAGCATACCCATTTAGCATAGGTCCGTTGGGGTTTGCTGTAGTTAACCGTTTGGTGTTTGCAGATTCGTGCTCGGCTGCAGGAGCAGGGGATCCAGCCTAGAGAAGTTCGTCTGATGAGGAACAAATCTTCAGGTATGCTTTCTCTATCAGGGGGTCTCCTTTATACCCCAGAATTACTCCAAATCTCTCCTATAACAAGCCTTTCCGCACTCTTGCTGTTCCAGTACAGTCTCATTCTCACTTTCCTCCTGCTGTATTGAGTTGAGTGTAGGGGCTGTTTGTTCTGGTGCTTCTTTAATCCGCTGCACATGTTTTTTTCTAATGCCACCACCCTCTTTATTTACGTGTGCATTGGCAATTTCTTACCATACTCCTTGTCAGAGTCATCTTAAGCAACAACTGTGATACAGACACACACATGATGCGTTCACACAAGCATGGGAATTATAGAAATGCACACAAGCACACCTACTCCCCAGTGCCAAGCCCGCATCCCTCATCACACTTCTATTGCTCTTGACATGTGAAGATCTTGCATTGTGTTATGCTGTGTTCACACCAGACGCGGAACGCGCGGATAAATCTCGATATTCGCGCGTAAATAGCCGCGTGAACATTTGAGTCTACTCGCTTCATTCGCGTGTCAAATTCACTTCAGAACAGACGTGGATTCGCGTGATGGGCGGGGCTTCTGTCTGCCCGAAGACTCTAGCTTCATAGATAAATGCTAACATGGATTTTATGAAGAAAATAACAGTGTTAATGTGCTTTATGAAGACTGAAAAACAGCGTCGATACGTTTAGGGTCGTGTCTGAGTCCACTACATGCTTTCAGAGGTGCATCCGGCTCTGTGAGCTCATCAACTCCTCCAGAAACTGAACCTGGATGACGGAGGCTTTCAGCGGTGCATCTGACTGAGCCAAGCCCAGATTGATGACTTGTCGGTGTCGCCTGGAGGATTTCCCTCGGGAGACAATCAACAGGTTCTACGTCACAATCACGCCCCCACAAGAGCAAGCTTCTGATTGGTTAACGCGGCGCGAATGTCCGCTGAAGTTCAGATTTTCAAAATCGAGAGATTCGCGCGAAACGCTCCTTAAGCGCGTCAAACGTGCAAAACGCTCAATTCGCCCCGCGCCATTTGCGCCATTTGCATCATTCGCGCCACGCCATTCGCGCAATTTGCATCATTCGTGCCACGCCATTCGCGCAATTTGCATCATTCACGCCGCGCCATTCGCGCGTATCGCGCCGCAGGATGTCTATTCGCGCGTTTGCATTGACTTAACATGTAAATCACTCGTGCTTGACGCGCGTTCCGCGTCTGATGTGAACGCAGCATAAGTATTCAGCAATAGCTGTGTTGAGAAGATAAGTGTCGCTGATCATTACGTGAGCAATTTTTAAAATGTATTATTGTTGTTTTATTGTATCTTCAGCTAAAAGGGCAGAAAAATAATGTGAACACTTCAAAAAGTGCCACATTAGGCGCTGTGTGTGACTGATCTTAATTTTCATCAGTCAAAACTGAAGTGGACATGAAAAGGGATTTAACGATCTGAGATTTTCACAGCAGGATAATCTTCTCAGAATATATTTTATGGTTTCATGGTATATATTAAAGGGCACCTAATATGCAAAAAGAGCTTTTCTAAGGGGTTTACTAAGGGGTTGTGTGTCAGCAGTGTGAATATCTCCAGCCTCTAAGGGTCAAAATTAATTAATTGCATTGTTATAAACAGTCTGCAGAAACACTTTGACATTCTCCCTTTGTACGTGTCATCAGAGGGGGAAAGCCCCGCCCACTAGTGACCATCTCTCCCTCATTAGCATAAACAGCCCTGAGTAAGAAGCAGCCGTATATTAGCCATTAGAGTGTTTGAATCTGCCACTATGCTGACACACAGAGCAGACATCAGCCCCACCCTTCCACAGACAACATTTTAAGCTTATTTTTAGAAACATGGTCCATGACAAAGATTTAGGGTGCTTTCACATCTGTAGTTCGCTTCATTTGGTACGGACCAAGGCCAATAAATGATACTTTGTTGCATTTTCTGCCGTCTTTGGGTCGCTTTCACACCACACTGCTGGCGTTGGTCCGAACCAGTTGAAACGAACCAAAATGCAGTCATCTGACAAAATCCACATCTCTCATTGGCCAGATGTTGTTGAACGTATCTCCTAAACTGCTTATTGATTGGTCAGAATTCACATGCGGGAAAATGCCAATGAACTCCCGCACGTAAACAAAACCTGCAGACACAAAATGTCCTTAACTGATTGTATCCCTGCTTTAGACAAACTTCAATTTCGAGAATGAAGCGCGGCCGCGGCTGGAAAACTGGGTTTTAATGCGTCGCTCGTCACTTCAGGAGGAGGCGTGAATTAATTTAGCTAAACTGCGGCATGCTCATCTTGCGGAAATATTAGCAACGATCCATCAGGTAATGTTTTCCCCTCTCTCTCTCTCTCTCTGTTGGTAAAACGCTGTCAACAAATATTTTTCCTCCATATCCCATAATGCACAGCGCATCAGCCTACGGCAGCTGAATTAGTCCAGAAGGCGCAGTACTTTTTGCGGTTGGACCTGTTTTAGTACGGATCATATTCTCACCACAAACGAAACGCTCCAGGGTTTGTTTGAAAGCGTACCGAGAACCACCTCTTCAAGCAGGTCTCGGTACGCTTATTTGGTCCGCTTTTGGTGCGCACTCAAGTACAATTGCTGCATTCACACCAAACCAACCGCACGAAAAAGGAAAACGAACTCTAGTGCGATTCAATCCAACTAAATAAGGCAGGTGTGAAAGCACCCTAACTCTGTTTAATAAATTATAATCCACGCTATATATTAGAAACAAATAAATACGTAAAAGCACATCTGCATAGACCCACGTGCCTTTTGCATAGTTTTTTTACGTTGGAAATACTTTTTGTTTTGCTTTACGGTTGTTGTTAAAGTTTTAAAACTGTATGCATGAACGTGCCTACTTAGTGTTATCATATTTAAATAAGAGTATCGCTCGCTCGCTAAGGCTACAGGATATGAGAACTTTTTGTAGATGCTAGGTGCCGTTGGTGAAGAATCGCTGATGTAATATTGTTAATATTTCGTGTGTTTGTCATGTTTCCACTTGTCACAGTGAATTTCCTTTGTGATTTAATGACTGGTGTGCTCAGCAGATGAACAGAAAGCTGCCTTTACAGTCTGCAGTGTGTGATTATTACAGCTATAGCTCTTTCTCTCTCTCTCTTTCTCTGTATCTGTGGATATTATGAGCACTAACCCCTCACTGCGTTGTTGTTGTTGTTGTTGTTCTGTCATTGTGGCCGGCGATGGCTGTTTCTCCAGGTCAGAGCAGAGGATTCGCCTTCGTCGAGTTTAATCACTTGCAGGAGGCCAGCCGCTGGATGGAGACCAACCAGGTCACTTCACACTGCACACACACACACACACACACACACACACATATGCTACAAGTCATCAGGTGTATGGAGATGTAGGCTCTTAAAGTCCGCATGAACTGAAAGCTATGACTGTTTTTTTTTCGTATTGTAAAGCAGTTTCTAGAGAACATGAATAATAAATGAGAAAACAGTGGGCGTGGCTTGTTTCTCTGCTGCAAGCTGATTGGATGTAGTAAAGTAGGCGTGTTGTTCAGAAAGATGGGGAAAAGTGTTTGAGGAGAGTGATTACAGCCTAACAGACTCCGCCTGCTCACCATTTCTGTCGTGGTTCTGACAGCTGAAGGGGCGGGGTTTAGTGTGTTAGCTCCACCCACTACCTCACACTGACCTAATCTGAGAATTTAACTGAACAAACAGGAAGTGCATTTGCAGATTTCAATATTCGATTACAGGAGCAAACTATTGTTTTGTTCGTAATGACATGCACAGATGAACTGTTCAGCACAGGACTAGCAATGTGAGCTCACAACATCACTATGGCTAGTTTTGATTTCATCTGTACTTTAAGGGCTGAATTCTCTTATGATTTTGCCATCTCTTGATTAATGAGGTCTGTTTGTTGCCATTCTTAAATGCGGTGTGTGTAGCAAAGCTGTGCTATTTGTTTTTTTTGGAAATGAGTGTGTGTGTCTATGTGTGTGTGTGTGTGTGTGTGTGTGTGTGTGTCTGCGTGTGTGCGCGCGCGCTATTATCTTTCTATTTCAGCCGGAGTGTCTTGTCTTGGCAGCTGCGAGCCGCTAGTGTGAGGCCTGGCCTATATTTCTCCAGTCTCTCTAGTTAAATCCATGTCTTGGAAATTCATCTCTAAAGAGCCTCAAATCTCATGAGAATACAGTCAGTGCTCCTCTAATGTGTCTTTTAATTAGATGATTAAATCATAGCAGATGAGGCCGTGGATGTGTTTCTGAATGTCATGGAAAACCTCATGGTGTTTTCACGTGGCAATAAAAAGTTTTGGATGAACAAATAAACGTTATTGTTGAAAGTAGTGCATTACATTATAGAGTTACTCCCCATTAAAGTGACTAGTTGTCTCTCAGAAATGATAAATATTTTAAAACAGGCACTATCCTTATAAATAAACTGCACAGCTGGAATCTAAACGACTACATTCTCAACTAAAATAGCCTCAAAAGTTCATTGTGTTGTCCAAGAACAGGAATATTGGTCAAACTGTAGAGCGTCCTCTGCTTGTATGTGAGCGGAGTAATACACAAAGGTGAAGAGGCCTTTGTGTGCTGTTACTGGCAAAATATTTCACGGCTATCAGCCAATCAGATTATACATATATTTAAATATAATATCTATATATATATATATATATATATATATATATATATATATATATATATATATATAGTTGAAGTCAGAATTATTAGCCCCCCTGTATTATTAGCGCCCCTGTTTATTTTTTTCCTGTTTTATTTTTTTTATTTCTAATAACTGATTTATTTTCTCTTCTCCATGATGACAGTAAATAATATTAGACTAGATATTTTTCAAGACACTTCTATACAGCTTAAAGTGACATTTAAAGGCTTCACTAGGTTAATAAGGTTAACTAGGCAGGTTAGGGTAATTAGGCAAGTTACTGTATAACAATGGTTTGTTCTGTAGACTAGCGAAAAAAAATGACCTTAAAGGGGCTAATAATTTTGTCCCAAAAATGCTTTTTAAAAAATTAATAACTACTTTTATTCTAGCCGAAATAAAACAAATAAGACTTTCTCCAGAAGAAAAAATATTATTAGACACACTGTAAAAATGTCATTGCTCTGTTAAACATCATTTGGGAAATATTTTAAAAAGAAAATAAAAATCAAAAGGGGGCGAATAATTCTGACTTCAACTATATATATATATATATATATATATATATATATATATATATATATATATATATATATATATATATATATATATATATATATATATATATAAATGCACAGACTTTTGCACAGAATTCTTTACTACTGTGTATTTGAACCTTTTCTTCACTAAGGGAACCTGAAAGGACTAAAAAACAACAAAGAAAACTGCTGCTTTGAATCAGACTGACTTTAACCCCACCGAGTCTCGCTAGATCCTCCTGTATGGACATGCGTCAGTTATAAAACACTCGCAAGACGTTAATTTGGACAACTATGCAGATAGTTTGTGAATCAATGGAATTGGTGCAAAAGCAATCGGTTGCACGTCAGAGGATATCTAGGTGTAAATATTTTATTCCTCCAAGCTCAGGTCAGGTCGTTTTAAGTCTCCCAACTAGTTAAAATCAAGTAATCGGATAGTTCTAGTTAAATATTAAAGAAGAAAGTCCTGTTAAAGTGATAATTCACTCAAAACTGAGAATTTACTCACTATTTCTTACTCGCAAGTTATTGCAAACATTTATGAGTTTCTTTCTTCTGTTTGAAACACAAATGGAGATATTTTGAAGTATGCTGAAAACCGGTAACCATTGACTTTCATAGTAGTTGTATTTTTACTATGGAAGTCAATAGGTATTCAGTTTACTTCTGAAAATATCTTTCGTCTTTTGATAACAGGAAAAAAAGAACTTTTAATAAGAAAAAGTGAGCAAATTCTCATTTTTGCGTGAACTATCCCTTTTAATGCAGTATAAATTAGGGATGCAACAATTATAGATTTTGGTTGTGCGATTATAGTCTTAGTAATAATTATGGTTATCATGATTATTATGCATTCATTAATTTCAAAACACTGCTAGTTGAATCTGATAAAAACTCCTTATATTTTAAAGTGTTGTTTATTGCTGCTCAGTTACCAAATAATATGACACAAAACAATAATAAAAAAAAAAAAAACAAGCAATAGCCCATTTCTCTTTGGACTTAAAAATAAGTTTTTTTTCATTTAAACATAAGTAGTAGTTTTACACTGAAAATAAATGCCAATGAATAAAATGTAAATAAAATAAATAAAAATGTAATAATTTAAAATAAATAAAATAAAAATGATTACAATAAATAAATTAATAAAATTTAAATAAATATAAATTTAAATTAATTAATAAAATTTAAATAAATTAAAAAAATGTAAATATGTAAATAAAATATTGTAAATAAATGAATTTAAAATATTTATTTTTAAATAAATTCAAATTAATAAATAAAATTTAAATAAATAAATACAATTAAAAATCAATACATAGATGAATAAATATTATATTAGTAAGTTACATAATAGCTAGGTATTTCCCTTTTACAGTGAAGAAATGTATTCAAAGGCTGCTGAACCTTTTGATCAATTACATAACAAAATTGTTTGGTATTTTTAATTTTGTATTTTTAATTTTGCATTTTGTCTCTCAGTGTAGGGTGCTTGCTGCATTATTTTTAAAACTATATATATATATATATATATATAACTATAAATATGCAAGCCACGCGCCTCCATTGAAAATAACAAACTTGCCAAATCGGTTAATCGTTGCATCCCCAGTATAAATACAACTCAGATCATCGGGATTGATTTATTTTCACGCACTGAGGATCTGAAGGCTATTTTTGTCTCTATATTTCATGCGTCATGTGTTGGATGTGTGAATATGTGCTTCTGTCTGGGTGTTTTGCTATATACTGTGGCCCAATATGAGTGGGCAGGACGCTTTTGGTTCCCCTGAATGGGGGAGGTTGAGGCTTCTGGCCGGATTATTTTTTTTGTCCGAAAACCCTCTCACCAACGCACATCTTTCTGAGTCCTCAAGCGGATGGTGATATCTGTCCTCCTTCTCTCTTTTATCCAGTCTTCTCGTCCGCTCTTTTGTGAGATGAGCTCCTGAAGTGTGCCAAATTCATCCTGAAAGTGAAATTTACTGCTGTCTTCTTTTGTCTTCCTCTGTGTCTTGTTTTCAGAAAGTGCTCACTATACTGGGACAGCGGGTTTCTATGCACTACAGCGACCCAAAGCCACGCGCTAATGAAGACTGGCTCTGCAATAAAGTAACTTCCTTCATGTTGTTTAATGATGAGTGTGCTTTTAAAGGAGTGCTGCACGATATAGGAACACAAAACACGGCATATTTCTTACCGTGTTCTAGAAAAATGCGGTTTTATTTGTGTAATGATATTAAAATTTAACAGGTAAGATATATTCTGTGGTTCTAATAACTATGTGGAGGGTCAAACATTTAGTCTTTAAAGCACTATGGATGAGTGTTATACTGATATGCAGATCTTCTGACTCGAATTGGCTGATTCCTCTCTGGTCTCGACTCCGCCCATTAGTGTTTATTTGCTGCTTTGTGTTCAGCTTCCAGCCAATAGCAGAATAGCAGCTACTGGGGAGGTGGAGCTAAGCATAAAGCCTCATCTCAATGGTCAAACTTGCATAAACATCCAATGCATACATTAAATTTTATTAATGACATGTCTGGAACATGATGTATTGCATGTACTATTATCATGATAACTGTAGTTCTGTGATATATTATGCAGCCCTACTTTAAAACGCTGATGTAGTTTATATAAAATTGAAGGACTAACTGGTGTGAAGTCATTGCAAACTAAATCATTCCAAAATGAATGGTCTGAGTTTGAAATTAAGGCTGCATTTGTAGTGCATGGTTCAAGTGACCCAAATCTGATGTATTTTTTATTTATTATTCATTTATTAGATTTTTTTCAGGCCTTGTTCATATGAGGAAATTTATTGGATATAAATTGTATACTTGTTGGGGTAGGGGTAGATGCTGATAAAATACAATTAATTGGTAATTTAATCAATTATATGAATAAAACTCTGTGTAATTACTGTTTTTACTTCACTGTGAGGGTTGGGTTTAGGTTTGAGGTGGGGGAAGACATTCATAAAGTACAATAATTATTTAGTAAATAATGTAAATAATACTCATTAACTTCCGGCTGCAACTTTATCCTTTCAAGCAACAACAGCACTGACTGGATAAAGGAAGCAATCAAGTTCATCACTATTTTAGGGTCTCCCAACACACAGTGCGTTTCTCTATTTGCATGCGTTGTTGAAATGAAGGTGTTTTCTCAATTTGCACGTGTTTTCTTAACTTGCGTTGCGTTTGAGCACCGTAGTGTGTCTGTTTAATTGAACAAGTGCGTCTGAGTGAATGTTTGTTTTGCTAAATCGTCTGTTTCTTCGCCAGTGTGGAGTGCAGAACTTCAAACGAAGAGAAAAGTGCTTCAAATGCGGAGTTCCAAAGTCAGGTGTGAATGCAAACCAGTTGTTCAGCCCATCAATGAGACTACAGGATTTATTTACTTATGTAAATGTGTGCATATATATATATATATATATATATATATATATATATATATATATATATATATATATATATATATATATATTCATTCATTCATTTTCTTTTCGGCTTAGTCCCTTTTTTAATCTGGGGTCGCCACAGAGGAATGAACCGCCAACTTATCCAGCATATGTTTTATGCAGCGTATGCCCTTCTAGCTGCAACCCATCTCTGGGAAACATACTGTACATACACACTCATTCACATTTATACACTACGGACAATTTAGCCTACCCAATTCACCTGTACTGCATGTCTTTGAACTGTGGGGGAAACCGGAGCACCCGGAGGAAACCCATGTGAACGCAGGGAGAACATGCAAACTCCACACAGAAACGCCAACTGACCCAGCCAAGGCTTGAACTAGCGACCTTGTTGTAAGGCGACAGCACTACCTACTGCACCACCGGGTCGCCATATATATATATATATATATATATATATATATATATATGTATATATATATATATATATATATATATATATATATGTATATATATATGTATATGTATATATATGTATATGTGTTTGTGTGTGTGTTGCTTTGTTTACGAAACAAGTGGTTCTAATTGGATTTGCATTGTAAACCTTAAATAGAAGTTAAAAAGGTATCATTTTATAAACGTTTTATTGTTTGATAGCTACTATACTCCCAAAATCATTCCGCATTATTCCACACTTTTTTTTTTTTGTTATTCTGCACAAAACACATTTATTTTTTTGATGCAAGTACATAATAGTTAAGGACACTTAATATAAAGTGGGACCAGAGTAAATGATGTGGTCATTATCATTTATGAACTGTTCCTTTAAAGTAAATAAACCCTCTCATGGCTCTTTTTCTCTTTATATCTGCAGAGGCGGAGCTGAAACTGCCTCTGGTGCCAAAGATTTTACCTCTGTGTCAGCTGAAGGACTCAACTCAGGGTTTACTGCCTCTTCCAGCCATATTCCAGACAGCCACGTCCATCCTCAACTTAAGCTCCTCCCCCCAGCCCTCTGAGGCGGCCAATGACAGTAAGTCTTAAAGTCTGCATGAACTGTTTCGTATTGTAATTTAAGTTTCTAGAGAAGCAGAATATTAAATGAGAAAAGAAGTGGGCGTGGCTTGTTTTTTCTACTGTGAGCTGATTGGGTGAAGTAAAGTAGGCGTGTCATTCAGAAAGATGGGGAAAAGTGTTTGGAGAGATTTTTACAGCCTAACAGACTCCGCCTGCTCACCATTTCTGTTTGATGTCGTACTGACAGCTGGTGGGCGTGGTTAAGTATGTTAGCCCCGCCCAATACCTCAGACAGACCTAATCTGAGGATCAAACTGAACACAAACAGTGCATGTTTAGATTTCAATTAAAGATTACAGAGGCAAACTATTGTTTTGTTCTTACTGACATGCACAGATGAACTGTTCAGCACTAAACTAGCAATGTGAGCTAACAACATCACTATAGCTAGTTTTGTTTTCATGCGTACTTTAAGCTTCATTCAGATAACACAGTTTGGTAAAACTTTACTAGAAGGAACTGTCATGAAACCTTTATAATCCTGGCATGACACTGAATGTGAGGGAGATTGTATGCATGCTTATAACATCTGTTATTAAGTGTCGTTCATTACCAAGACAACAAAACTTGTCATAAATCCGTCATAAACATGATCACCATCAGGGATTGGTCAGGGAATTTGCTATTTGTCAAACACCGTTGACTGTTTTTCAGCGCTCATACTGAGGAATCTGGGACCCCACACCACACTCGAGGCCATTTTATCAGCTCTGGCTCCGTTCGCAACCCTCTCGCCCTCGAACGTTCGACTCATTAAAGACAAACAGACGCAGCTCAACCGAGGCTTCGCTTTCCTGCAGCTGACGACAATCGTGGTAAGAAATAACTCATTCACTGTGGTGTGAAGTAACAAATTACAAACACTCAAATGACGGCCATTGAGTAGCTTTCCTCAGGAATTGTAATTTGCTAAGTAGTTTGTAATAAATGTGTACTTTTCCTTCACCTCAAGTACCTTTTTAGTGCTTTTACTTCACTATATTCCTTCAAACTGCAGTTACTACTTAATTATTTTCTTGTCTATGGTGATTGGCTGAGTAGAAAATCTTGTGATGTCCGCCCAGTCAAATCACATAGAAAGTAAATCGCATCATACTGAACAACCTCAAGACGTGGCGCTTCATAAATGCAGCACACATGCAAGAGGACGTAAAAGTGTCCAAGAGGATGTCTAATGCTGTGTTCACACCAGACGCGGAAAGCGCGGATAAATCACGCGTAAATAGCCGCGTGAACATTTAAGTTTACTCGCTTTATTCGCGCGTGAAACCCTGCTTCATTCGCGTGTCTCAAATTCACTTCAAAACAGACGCGGATTCGCGTGATGGGCAGGGCTTCTGTCTGCCCGGTGACTGTATCTTCGTTGCTAAAATGCCAACATGTGTTTTATGAAGAAAATAACAGTGTTTATGGGCTTTATGAAGGCTGAAAAACAGCGTTGATGCGTTTAGGACCGTGTCTGAGTCCACTACATGCTACATTCAAAGGTGCATCCAACTCTGTGAGCTCATAAACTCCTCCAGAAACTGAACCTGGATGATGGAGGCTTTCAATGGTGCTTCTGACTGAGCCAAGCCCAGATTGATGACTTGTTGTGGGTGTCGCCTGGAGGATTTCCCCCGGGACACCTTCAACAGGTTCTACGTAACAATCACGCCCCCACAAGAGCAAGCGTCTGATTGGAATAATCGCGTATTGCGCTATTCGCACTGCGCCATTCGCGCGTATTGCGCTATTCGCCCCGCGCCATTCGCGGGTATCGCGCCGCAGGATGTCTATTCGTGCGTTTGCATTGACTTAACATGAAAAATCACTCACGCTTGATGCGCGTTCTGCATCTGGTGTAAACGCAGCATAAGGGTGTACTCGCGAACCCTGCTGAAGCATGTTTGACACCCCCCCCTTCTTTCCTTCCTCCGATGGCCTGCACTCACACTGCATCATCTCCGGAGCACACTTGCATCATCAACGATGCGACTGTTCAGTTTAGCAGAAGAGAAGTGCTCTCACTCAGCACAGTGGACATTGCTTTAGTTATATTCTTTTGTACTATTTTAAGTGGTTTGGGATGCAGTGACGCACAGTTAAATCGTTTGCTAAACAGATCAGCCACCTTTGACGCTCATAAATGTTCATGAAGTCCTCGTGCAGATGTTAGGAGGTTCGCTGAAGGTGCAGCTGTTGTGCAGTGAGAGGTTTGTGTTTTTAATAAACTATGACAGTTGAACAGTAAGAATGATCAATAAATCCATATCAAACAGTCCCTTAAAGTCACGTCTCGTCTTCAGTTTCGGACTCAGGTGTGCTTTGCACTCACATGATGACAGCCCATAATATTAGACTAGATATTCTTCAAGACACTAGTGTTCAGCTTACAGTGACATGTAAAGGCTTCACTAGGGTAATTAGGGTAAAGTTAGGGTAATTAGGCAAGTCATTGTATAACAGTGGTTTGTTCTGGAGACAATCCAACACTAATATTGCTGAAGGGGTGAATAATATTGAGCTTAACATGACTTTAACACTATTAAGAACTGCTTTTATTCTAGCCCAAATAAAACAAAAGACTTTCTCCAGAAGAAGAAACATTAGAGGAAACAAAGTGAACAACTCCTCAATCTGAGAAACATCATTTGGGAAATATTTTAAAAAGTTTACAGGAGGGCGAATCATTCTGCTTTGATCTGTGTTTTAGGAGGCTTCACAGCTGCTGCAGATCCTCCAGGCCCTGCAGCCGCCGCTGTCTATTGATGGAAAGCTCATCTCTGTGGAGTTCGCCAAGGGCTCCAAACGGTACGAGTTTCAGCTTCTCAGATCCTGATCCTGACGTCACGGTTGTGTAACGGGAAAATATAGCAGAGCCACAGATGTGAGAGAAAGTTTAGAGAACACATTGAACTGTTGATGCTGTACAATTAAAGGCATAGTTCACCCAAAACTGAATATTCGGCCATCGTTTACTCACTCTTCACTTGTTCTAAATCTGAGAGTTTTTTTCCTCCGTTAAACACAGAAAAATGTATAAATTAGAGGCGCTGAAAACCATTTTATAGAAAATTTATTTTATTGTTCTAATCAGACTTGATGCAGAAACACTTTGATTGACATTCTCCCTTTGTACGTGTCATCAGAGGGGGAAAGCCCCGCCCACTAGTGCGCATATCTCCATCTCATTAGCATAAACAGCAGGCCTGAGTGAGAAGCAGCCGTCTGTCCATTCGCCATTAGAGTGTTTGAGCTGCTGAAGATAATGTCAGCATAGACTAAGAGGATTATAGATGTGGAGTTTAAGATGAAGCTGGACATAGACTGACAGAAGCATCAACACACACTCACACTGAAGCACACATGCACAGCACTCACAACACTAATCCTGGTTACAGTCTGTCACTTTGGGGATGCACAGCCATCTGTAGCTCCGCCCTTTTCTGAAAAGAGCACAATCTCATTTGAATTTAAAGGCACAGTCTCCGAAACTAGGATCAAAGCTTAAAAGCTGGAAGCCTGTAACCATTGACTTTCACACTGTTAGTTTTTTCTGCTATGCAAGTCAAGGGTTTTTCAGCATATCTTACTTACTGTTCAACAGAAGAAAGACCTGATAAAGGTTTGCAACCTCTTAAAAGAGAGAAAATAGTGATTCACTATAAAGCTATCCCTTTAAGAGGTGACTTGAACATTTCTCTTGATTTGTGGTTTATAGTTGTGTCATAGTTTTATTTTATTTATTTTGTAAACCATTCATGACATTTCTTCCAAATGTATAATCAAAAGGCTGTTGTTTTGAGCTTTTTAAATATATTTTACATAAAATAACAATTGACAGTATGACACATTCTCAGACGAGATTATATTTATTTACTTTTTTTAACGAAACAATTGCAGCAACACCTGGAATCAACTGTCTTTTAATAACTTGATGAGTCTGTAACAGCACTTTGCAGCTCCCATCTTTGCAGAATTGTTGTGATTCAGTCACATTCAAAGCATTTTCCAGCATGAACCTCATTTTTAGGGTCATACCACAGCATCTCAATTGGATTCATGTCAGGACTCTGACTAGGCCACTCCAACATCTTAGTTTTTCTTCAGCAGTTCAGCGAGTTTAGTGGACCTGCTGGTGTTTTTTTTACTTTAGAAAAAATCTATATTAGAGTCTATCTATATTAAATGAGAGCATAATTACGTAATTTAACTAATTTTTTAAAATTATTTATTATTTTATTAGTCTTTTTTTGAATAAAACAAAACAAAACAAACCCTTCTAAATCACAATATTTTACTATAGTGCTCCCTGTTTGATCAGGCTGTGGATTAAAGCTAATAAAATTGTATAATATTGTAATGTTAATCAATATTGTAATAATAAATAACATTATATCATCTATTAATTATATATTTCTCTCTCTCTCTCAGTGATGTGTTTCTGACAGATGGCAGTCGTGTGAGTGTGGCCACAGTAGCGAGCACAGCTATAGCTGCAGCTCAGTGGGCAGTTTCTCAGGTAAACACAGCATTTACTTCATTAACAATCTGAAAACAGCGTTGAATTATTACGATTATATTAAATTTCATTACACATATACAAATACAAACAAAATGCAAATCAGGTTTGACCAGGAGTGGAACAGCAGTTATAAGTTATTAGTGCGGGTATAGAAAACTACGGGTAATATTTACAGATGAATACAGTATGCGCAACGTATTAACAAGAATCAGAGATTTACAACTAGATGAGCATACTGTACAGGTTGATATTAATAATCAGGGATATGCACGTGGATATGAATGATAAGTAATCATTGTGTGCGCATGTTGCATAGGTGAACAAATTAACATAAATTATATGATGTTTAATGACTCGTTGCAGAATTGCGGGTACATTTCAGGCATTTACATAGAAATTAGCTTTCATTTATTAATTAAAACATTATTAATACATTTTCCAGCTAAATATATTGTAAATAATATAATGTGGCGCAGTGGGTAGCACTGTTGCCTCACAGCAAGAAGGTCGCTGGTTCGAGTCCCGGCTGTATCAGTTGTCATTCCTGTGTAAATAAATGTTGATTGTTTATATGAAAATTGTTTATATTTATATGAACATATTTATCTGTAATGCAAACGATTTATAAATATGTATGTGAATATATTTCTTTTGGATATTTTGTTTCTGATTGCAGACGGCGAGTGGAGCTCAGAGTGGTGATTTGAGTGTTCTCCAGCAGGGGGCGGCAGCGTTCAGCCAGGATGGCTCTCAGAGCCGCACTGCAGAAACACAGGCTTTTAAAGGCCCAGTGACCACATTACTGACCCCTGCTGATAGAGCAGGTATGATTACAGCACAATAACAGGGTGTCTTAAAAGTTCATTAATCGATTTAGAGAAATTGAAGGCCCTTCAAAGAAAACACAGTTATGCATGCTGTTTATAGGCGCCCCCTGCTGGAGGAGAGTGAATTAGCATTAGAATATTTATTTATTAAAAGTCTTGAACAGAAATAATGTCCAGTATAGAGTATGAAGTCCTGCTGCAGTGGAGACAGAATGAATATTGTGTCTGACTCCATCATGAGCTTGGAGGACTGCATCCATACATCTCTGACATGACTCAAATCACTGATTAATAAAGTCATCTGGAATGAAGAAGAAAGCCTTCAGCAGGATCCCAGAGTTCATCAAGAGTCTCTTTGTGCATATATAACACCTCCTCCTTCATCAGCTGAATAATGTTGATGTCTGGTGACTGGGCTGGCCAATCCTGGAGCAGCTTTGCTTTCAGGAGCTTTGATGTGGAGGCTGAAGTATGAGCAGGAGCGCTATCCTGCTGGAGAATTGTCCCTCTCCTGTGGTTTGTAATGTAATGGGCAGCACAGATGTCTTGATACCTCAGGCTGTTGATGTTGATCATCCACTCTGCTGATCCCCATACTGAATGAACCCCAAACCATGATTTCTCCTTCACCAAACTTGACTGATTTCTGTGAGAATCTTGGTCCATGCTGGTTCCAGTAGGTCTTCTGCAGTATTGGTGATGATTTGGATGCTGATCAACAGATGATTCATGGAGAAATCCACCTTCTGCATCTTTTACACATCATCAACTAGAAAACCAGTTATCATTTGTTGCCCTTACAACTGGGTAGTAAGATGTGGTGAATTTCACTCTCAGTTTCCTGTATATA